GTGCGTGTACCGTCAAATCAGATCTGACTGGTACAGGAGGATATTGCGCCTCCTTCTCCGGCAGAGCGTCTGGTGGATTCGAACTGTGTTCCTCTGGGATTGCACTGCAGCTTCTTACCACTAGGCCACCAGAGCTCCCCTTATTTTTTCTTAATTCCTGGGATTTTTGGGAGGTGGAGGAGGATGTGCTATTGATTAGTAGAGCTTCTCTGGTGGCCCAGTGGTTAAGCACTCAGCTGCTGATTGACAGGTGAGAAGTTTGAACCCACTAGCCTCTCTAAGGGAGGGAAAAACCCTGGCTCAGTGACTAGTCTGAGCATGGTAAAGGGGGGCCAGTTCTGGGCTATCCTTGAGCCCATTGGGAGTCAGAATCAACTCAAGACAGATTTACCTTTTTAAATTATGTTTGGCAACTAGTATGGGTTTCCCCCCCTCTCTTTCTTAATTGTAGTAAAATAATAGAAAAACATTTGCAATTTCAACTATTTTGGAGTTTGGTCTTATTAAGAAAATGCTCACCCCGGTTCAGCCAAAGTCATTTGAGCTGAGTAGAATTCTTCCTGGCCTGGCCAGGAGCAGGGTTCAGCCTGTGGGGGCAGGAGAGGAGTGAGAGCTCCATGGATGTGGCCAGTAGCCCACCCTCTGCCCTGCTTTGGCCACTCGCACTTTGGAGTCCTGGCCCCTGCTGGGCTGGCTGTAGGAGTGGCTGGAGCTTTCCTAGGTGAGCTTGAGCACCCTCACCTCTAGAAAGGCTGTGCCTGTGAGGACATGATGTAAGGTGGGCACTGACACTGTTAGCAGCATAATTTCTGTGTAAGCAAGGTCAGTACATGGAGATTTATCTGTTTACAGATCTTGGATTAACTGTTCATTTATCTTGATGTTATCAGTTCTTTTTAAGTTAACACGTTGCCGCAAATGACAGCAAATGTGTTTCTAAGGATGGTCGTCAATTTAAAAAGTGTGCAGTAACGTGTTAAAAGTCAGATTGTGTAAATTTAAACTTACTGATTGCTGTCAGGTTGCAGCAGACTCATAACCTGACTCTCCACTGGATTCTGAGGCTTTTACTTGCTTGGGAGGAGATTGCCCAGCCTCTGAGGAGCTGCTAGTGGATTTGAACGAGGGTGGGGCCTTTGGTTTAGGAGCACCGTTCCCAGGCCTGCCCCTCCCAAGCTTGCTGTGAGTGCAGAAGCGATGGTAACTTGGCCAGTGTGTGCTCCTTGGGCCTTCTATGCAGCTTCAGGTCTGTCTTCTGAACTGAAACATTACAGAGTTCAATCCCAGGTTTAAGAACAGTTTCTATTTTGTGGCTTACATTAAAAATTTCGACAGCTTAGAAGAATGAATTGGTAGTTGAGCCATAGGTCCTCCCTCCATTGAAACGCTGGGTTGTGTATTGATCTGGAGAAGAGGGAGCATTGTCTGTCACAGGCAGGTCCGAGTAGAGGCGTGTTTCCACGGTGACCATCCTGCTCTTGGCCAGGCTGTGCCCAGTGTTGGTGAAGGCGCCAGGGTGTTTGAGTTTCCAGGGAACAAGCGATTTCCGAAAATACTTGACTGTTGGCCAAGCTGTTAGCTGGAGAAAGAAATCTGGTGTTTTCTTCTCTGGAGCTGCTGGCTGCTGGAGATATGGGCCTTGCTGGGGCAGGGGTGGGTGTCTAAGGATTGAGGTGGTCAGAGTGGGGGTGCTGGACCGAGGTGCTCCAGGCAATGCTCCTGGGTGTAGCCAGCTTGGGAGCAGTTGGTATTCTAGGCTAGAACAGGAATTGAGTGGACTTTGCAGGCCTGGACTGCCTTCTGCCCTCACCTTATGGGGCAGAGGTGGTTTTGATTTGGTCAGGGCACCCTGATCTCGATGCCATGCTTGGAATTGCCACAGTAGCCGAGCAGCTCTGATTTATAAACAAAAAGACACAGTTCTTTTGTTGTTGTTGACTTGCCTTTGTTTTATTTTTAATTGTGATTTTAGTAAAAGTTTACAGAAGAGTTAGATTTTCATTCATTTGACATGTTCTGTTAACAGTTAAGTTTCAACTTTGAAAATGTTGGGCAAACTTGACACAATTTTGATCTGTAAGATCCAAGTAGAGCATCTGAGAATGAAACATAATAAATAGGACAAGTAGAGCTTACTGTTGCATGTTAAAACCATGGAACATGCAAACCTGAAATTGTGTTTATTTAGAAAAATGAGCACGTGTTCTTACTGCTGAGTTAACTGCCTGTCCCATACTTGTCTGTGTGTGTGTAGCATGTCTTCACTTGAATTTATTTGGACGATGTCACCCTGAAGCCCTGCTTGCTAACTCGGGACTGTCCCCTGGGGACAGATCCCAGGGTGAGCCAACTCTGGAATATCCAGATGGAGGTGTTGGGCTCAGGACGAGGCTTGGAGCTCGAGAAGAGAGGTTGCCATGAGAAGGCAAAGTGAGATGTGAACCTTGGAAATGAGATTATGACAGGAAGGGTAGTCATCCTGGGGTTATCCCTGCTTGCTGGAGTAAAGCTGCTGTGCTCCAGGGCTTGCCCAGGTAAGGGCATCCAGATTTTTCCTGGGAAGTAAACATTAAGTTTACAAGTACAGGTATTTTAACACAGTGGTAACTTGTACTAAGTTAAAAACAACCCAACAACCAACATTTCTGTTTTATTTCTAGTGTGTCCACCTTTACAGTTGCAAAATTGTCCTTTTTAATGTTAATGTTTGCTTCTTATTTTAGACCTAAATGCATTTTTGATACATTGAGAGAAACAGGGATGATTCCATATTCCATGAGCACATCTGCCTACTGGGTGTGTGTGTGTGTGTGTGTGTGTGTGTGTGTGTGTGTGTGTACGTACGTACACACATGCGCTCGCGTCACTAGCCAGATCCAGGAGCGGGCCAGTGTTGCCCCTCTAAGCTGCTGGTTCTAGAGTTTAGCGATCACATGGTGTGGCCTCTGTGGAGAGGCTGGAATCCACAGTTTTTAGACAAAATTTGGCTCAGGTGACTATTGGTCAGTTTCGATAAAATGCTGTGTCTCCTGTCCTGGAAGTCAGCTGTGGCTCTCTCCCTGGGCATGTCTGGCTCCCACTTCTCCCACAGGCCACGTTTGTCAAGGCTGGTGGCAGAATTCACTCAGCGTCATGGTGGCAGAGGTTTTACGTTTAGTCCAGGGCTAGCGAGGAGAGTTTTTTATAAACAGTGCCTCTGTAAACCATTTTGCTACCAAAGTGTGTGTTTCAAATTCAGCAGATAGGAGAGAAAATCCTGAACAGTCCATTGGATATATGCTGTTGCGTTTTCATTTTCTCTTTCAAAGCATAATAGCATTTTTAGTACATAGCGGGTGTTAGCCAATGCCATAATTACAAATGCATCAGTTCTTATTTTTTGCCAGACTTTCACATGCATATAAAGCAGTGGAAGACACTGTAATGTGGGTCCAGCCTGCAGCTGTGCGGGTCCTCTTCTGTAGCTGACTTCCTCGGTGTCCTTTGTCATTTGGTCTCTTGACTGCTCTGTGTGTGGGCATTGATTTTGAATCCAGGTGACATGAAATTTTTGACAGCTTTCAGCTGTGCAGACTTCTGTTTTCTTTATTTTGAGGTGTAGTGCAGACCAGTTGGAAGGAGTGGCATCCACTTCCATAATAGCTTGCTTCTGGAAACCCTCTGAACCTGGAGAGAGGATGAAAGGCACCCAAGTGTCGAGGAGTCTCCTTCATAGAGTCGCTGAGTCGCCTGCAACTTGACGGCACTTAACAACAACAGTGCAGACCAGAAACACGTCCCTTCCTCTGCATCTCACTCATTGCCATAAAATTGGAACCAGCTTATAACTGACTTCACAGTGGGTTTTGGGAGGCTGCCGATCTGATGGAGGAGATTGTTCCCCATATTCTCCCTTGGAGTTCTTGTGAGTTTGAATCTCCAGAAAGATACCTTTGGGTCAGCAGCCCAGCTCTCTACTAAATGCTTGAAGTCCTCTTCTCTTCCAACAAGCAGGGTTGTGCCATCTGCATAGTGCAAGTTATTGAAGAGTCTCCCTCCAATCTTGATGCCACATTCTTCTTCATAGAGCCCAGGTTTTTGGACTACTTTCTCCACATACAGATTAAGTATGGTAAAAGACTGCCATCCTGATACACATCTTTGCTGATTTTAAACTACTCAGTGTTCTCTTCAGACATCTTACCTCTTCACCTGGGCACATGTGCGACGTGAGCACAGTTAAGTGTTCTAGGATTCTTACTCTTCACACTGTTATTTAAAACTTGTTATGGGCCACACAGTCAGATGCCCTTATGTAGTCAATAAAGTGCTGGTCAATATCTTCCTGGTATTGGTATTCTCTCCTTTCAACCAAGATCCATCGGACATCAACAGTGACATTACTTATTCTACACCTTTTCAGTCCAGCTTGAATTTTTGGCCATTTCCTGTTAATATGCTGCTGCAAATATTTTTTGATGACCTGTAGTAAAATTTTACTTGCACGTGATATTGTTTGAGAATTCCTGCATTCTTTTCAATCCCCTTCCTTTTGAGTGGGCATAGATATGTCAGTTGCCAAGTAGCTGTCTTCCAGATTTCTCAGTGTGGACAAGTGAGCCCTACTACCGTTGCATCTGATTGTTGAAACATCTCAGTTGGTGGCCTGTCAACTCCTGGAGCTCTAGTTCTCACCAGTGCCTTCGTGCAGCCTAAATGTGCATATGAGGAACTGATCGTCTGTCCCCTAGTCGGTCTTTGTCAATCTTCTGACTGATTTTTCAGTATATCTTTCCACAGAAGTACATTTGATTTCACGGGATCAGTCTTTACACATTCTGTGTCATCTGTGACGTCTTCGGGTTTCCCTGGATTCATATTTTCTGTGTTCTGAATGTTTGCGGATGTTTGCAGCTGATTGTTTGCATTTCAGCAGGGGTACGGCGCATGACGCTCCAGGAGTGCTCCACCAGGCTTTGGGCTCAGCAGTGCTTTCTGATGGCGGCTCTGACCCGGTTGGTGTTTGGAATACTGGTGGCGTAGCTTCCAGCATCACAACATGCTGACCACCACAGTGACATGGTGACCAGCAGGTGGGCGTTGTACACGCTCCACATAGCTGCCATTTCAGAAACTGCTGGAGGATGGGTCAGGACTGCATGCTCAGCATGTACATCCTCCTTCTTTCCTCCTCAGTCTCACATCCCCTCACATGGCTGTGTAACCTTGAATGGTGTGGCTTCTTATTAGGACCCAGACCTCAAGTTGAGTCTGCTCTGTTGGGGTTTGGTGATACAGCACCAGAGGAACCCTCTACCTCAGTTACCCCATTGAAATGAGATGAATCAGCCTTATTCCACCCACTTGCTCTTATCTTTGTTGGTGGTAGCTAGGCCGTGTGGTGTTAGTTGTCAGAAGTGGAAGAAGGTTTCTCTTGTCTTGGGAGTTCCCTCAAGTAGGAAAGGTGTGTGGCAGATGACATCTGTGCACCAGCGTATGGAAGACGGCCCCACAGTCCCAGGATCAGCCCAGAACGACCAACTGAGCTTGGGGCTGCAGCGGGGCAGGGCGGTGTGGAGGCTTCTGTGGAGTGGGCTGAGCCACAGGCAGTTGTGGGTGTCAGTGGTCACTTCCCTCCACCTCCTCTCTACCGCTTAGCCTGGCCTGCTGCCCTGTTCCACCATGTGTTCCCACTGTCTGCCCTTGCCGGCCTCTGGGGATGGTGCTCTAGCAAACACAGGGCTGCCTCCAGACCCCGTCCCAGGTGCCTGGGGGCGGTCTGTGGGGCTGGTGCGCAGCAGCCGTGGGTGGCTGTGCACCGTTTGCAGTCTCAGCTGTGTGTGCAGCATGGCGGGTGGGTGCGTTGGTTGATGCTCTTGCACTCAATTGCCTGAAATACAGAGGATGTCTCAGGGCTGGGACAGCAAGTCCCATAGGTGCTCACTCAGCACTAGCTTTGTGTGGTGGGCACTAGGGGGGAAATGCGCCTTGGCTTCGTATCTCAGGACAGAGTTGCCCAGCCTTAGCACTAGCCTTCTGTGCGTGAGTTCCGTGGCATCCTCCAAGTGCCCTTGATGGCCTGCCTTTGGGGACCTCCAAGGAGGAGAGGTGCCTCAGCTATTGGATGAGAGGACTTGTGTGTAAAAATGGCCCAAAATAAATGGCTTTATGGTGGTGGTACAGTGGGAGAAGTGGACCAAAAGTGAACCTTTCAAGCCATCTAGCTGCTCTGCAGGAGATGTTAGGTGCTGTCGAGTCGTTTGCGACTCATAGCGACCCTATGTACAACAGCCCCAAACCCTGCTCTATCCTGTGCCAATCTCATTGCCTCTGATACACCCATCCTGTTTACCCCAGTCACTGAATCAGTCCACCTCATAGAGGGTCTTCCCCTCCTGCGCTGTTCCTCTACTCTACCCAGCATGATGTCCCTCTCCAAGGACCTGTCTCTC